AGCTCGATGTTGGCGCCTTTGCAGCGTGCCTCAATGGCCGGCTGTCGGACACCCACGGTGGCGCTGTGAGACGGCTTTGTCCGAGTTGGTTGACCATCGGATTAAAGTGAGAGAGACAGATTTCAAGTGACGGGCTAGGTAAGATGCTTTGCCATGTTCGGTCGTGTTCGTATAATTTCACATCTGTGCGTGTAAGCCCGAGCGGTGATCGCGCTCTCTCTCTCTCTCTCTCTCTCTCTCTCTCTCTCTCTCTCTTCTCTCTCTCTCTCTCTCTCTCTCTCTCTCTCTCTCTATCTCCCTTTCTCTCTCCTTCTCTCTTATCTCTGCCTCTCGCTCTCCTTCTCTCTCTCTCTCTCCCCCCTTTCTCTCTCATTCTCTCTTATCTCTGCCTCTCGCTCTCCACGCTCTCTCGCTCTCTCTCTTCATCTCACGCGAGCATGCGCGCGCCCTCTCTTTGCCTCCCCTTTCCCTCTTCTCCGTTTTGTATACTCTCTTTTCTCGTCTCGCTCACTTCGACATGCCTTGGGTTAGTGGAAATATGTTTGCTTATTGGTGATTTCGTGTGCCCTGTGTCCCGTTCAGCACGTCGAAACCAATTTTCAATCGCCAGGTTCTGAACCCTGGACCTACACCGCAAACGAGAAATGGAAAGGTTAAGCACAAAAATAGCGAGAGGATCGCCTGTGGCCAAGGTCGTCCTCCCGTCAGTGGCTCTCACGCTTATACTTCTCCCTCGCCACTCGTTCACGTCGAGCTCCTGGATTTGTCCGTCGCACGGCGCGCGTGCTTGTGTTTCGCAGAGGCAAAACAAACATTAGCTCACGGCGTTGACGGGTTCTCTGCTCCGTGGCAGCGCGAAGGTCTTGACGCCTGCGGAGGACGGAAGGCAGTGCCAGCATTCATATCCGTCACCTGAAATCCGCGCTGTTGGACACTGTAATTATTATCACATCGACGGCTTATATGCTTTTACGACGCTCGGATGAGATTAGTAAACGTTAGCAAGAGTGTTAGACGTGTCGCGGCGGTGGCAGGCGCGGGATGGACACGTGTGCGTGCGTGTGTGGTGTGCGTGCGTGCGTTGGTGCGGGCTGCGCGGCGCCCGGCGCGCTGTGTGTGTGTCTGTGTGTGTTGTGTGTTGTGTGTGCGTGCGTTGTGTGTGCGTGCGGCGGTGCGTGCGCGCGCGCGTGTGTGTGTGTTGAGTGTGTGATGTGGCAGTGGATGGTGTGTTGTGTGTGTGTGTTCGTGTGTGGTGTTTATGTGTGTGTCGGTCTATCTGTCTGTCTGTTCTCTGTGCTGTCTATCTGTTTGTCGCCGTCTGTTTGTCTGTCAGTCCGTCGTCCGTCTGTCCGTCCGTTCGTCCGTCCCGTCCGTCCGGTCCGTCCGTTCCGTCCGTCGTCGTCCGTCCGTCGACCGTCCGTGCCGTCCGTCGGTCGTCCGTCTGTCCGTCGGTCATCGTGTCGCCGGCCCTGCTGTCTGCCTGCCTGCCTGTCTGTCTGATCTGTATGTCTGTCTGTCTTCTGCCCTGTCTGGTCTGCCTATTTGATTATCGTATAATGCTGTGTTTGGTATGTGTCTATATCTGTCTACGATGTGGTGGTTGTCTATCTATTCGTCGTCTACGGGGCTGTCTGTTTCAATGCACCTTGCTACTAAACGCCGATATCTCGGTTGCTGGTTGGGACTAGCAGTTTGCATTATCTATGTACAGGAATTCAGAGTGCTAGCATTGTAAAAGAATCACTCTCGATGATGAATTAATATTAACAGCGTTTCCGCATTAATTTAAAACCACTCTGGCGAACAGAGACGTCGCGTGTGGATGAAACGTACGTACGTGCGTTTTGCATGCGGGCATGTGCAGTTTGGGATTGAGTACAAGTTGAAGTGTATATATACACTTCAAGTGTTATACTTGCTCATCCTGTCCACGACTGACGTGTAGTATATATTCAGGAGCTCATAATAGAGAGCTATATTTATGAGCTCCTGGTATATATACATCTAGACTAAACCCGTAAGCCAGCGAAAACCCTGCTGGCAGCCCAAGACATTTGGAAACAGTCTATTGTCCATATACATCACGCGTTATACGAGGTTTATATCGTCTGCCCGTATTCAAGGCACGCTCTCGCCATAAAACTGGGCTGGGGCCCCGGCTTGGTGGTCTGTATACAAGCAGCATTTGAACAGGAGATGAGAGAGCGTTGTTATAGTGTGAGGTGGGTGGAGTTTGCGCCGTGACCATGCAGGTGCATGGGTCATATCATGTTCAACGTACACGCTGGCGTGACACAAGGGTAGTATTATCATGGGTACAAGAATTCTCTATTCATGTTTTCCTGGTATTATAGTTGTAGTTATAGTTATAGTTATTATAATTATTATTCATTCTAGCTTTATAATCCCTACTTTCACTGAAGTAATAACAATATATAACTTTCACCGTCACCATAAACTCGGCCGTAATCTCAAACTCTTACTACTGCAATAACCTAACGATCACGTTATCTTGATTCTAACTCGTAATGTAGCCACAGCCCTAAATATGACCGTAACCCTAACTCCGACCCTGACCCTAAGCCTACCCCAACCCTGGTTTTACTGAAATATAACCAGAGCTAGGCCTGCGAGACTAACGTCAATGTACACAGTCGATGTATGCCCAGTTCTTATGATATATGGCTAGTTTCTGGAGCTAACTGAGGCAATAACCTGTAAATATCACTCTAACATTACCCTAACCACAAAACCCTAACCCCGCTGCGAATGAACATAAGGCTGGGCCATCATTACAGGGTTTATATACTGCGCGTATCATGTCGCACTCGCTCCCCCGCTGCTGCATGCCCACCACGACATAGACGTGGGCTACACTCTGGGCAGTGGTCGTAAAACCCCACCAACGCAATTGGCAGTATTTGAACAACAGTACAAAGCGCAGTGACAAACGGATGGGCGAGGCTATATTGTATATATTTATATATAATATAATAATATATATATAAATGTATTTTATTCCCCACCAGCGTATGAGACGTGTGCTTTTCTTATCAGAGATCTATCGCCCTAGATGCCCCGATGTGAAGCGGAATAATAAGTAAGGTGGGAGAGCCATGAGGAGGTGGCTGTCTACACGACCGAGTATGCATGCTGCATGTTCGTAGCCCAGGTTTATAACACACCTATATAAGATCCCACAAGGTTTGGCGGCGGCGTGCCTGGATTACTACACGCAAATATGCGTGTGACTTTTCAAACCCGTTGCGTGGTCGTTGGTTACACTTACTCAATCGTACATCAAAGTCGGATTGAATAGATTAAATTGCATGATAAAATACACACGTAATGCGCGCCTTCTATTCACGCCGATTTTCAGGTCAGTCGCATTGCGTGAATGGAGCGTACGTGATACGGCCCGACAAGTCAATATCACGTTCTATAAGATCGTATCAGCGGAAGGCGGGAGCGGGAGGTACAAATACGCCAAACGTGATGAAAGCTGATATTGGCATCCCATTCACACGCACGCGGGTGGGTATAATACCAGCTTATGAACATCGTTCAGCAAGGGTTTGTATGCGATTTTATAAGTAGCATCCTTCGCTAGCGCACAAGGGCGATTCCGTTTAATCTGTTAATGCCATTGTAACCACAAGTCATTGTAACGTCACAAAGGACGTGACATAACGTCACGCACGCATTATATATAAATTCGCGCTATTTTGTGCACCAAAATCACCCGTTAACAAAAGAGATTACAAGAATACGCGAATAACGGATGATATATAAAAAAAAGTTAGTACATCGCGAAATGAAATCGTGCTCCTAACACAATGGTAAGTTATGCACGCATATATTAGCCTAATACATTTCTTATGCCGGTCAAATTTACCCATTTCCTTCTGTAACACAGTGCAATTACTTTGAAATACGAAATACAAGTAGGTAGATTGTGTTAGATTAGTTTAGCGTGTGTGCCCGTGTCGTTGTCTTTGACGTTTCATATATTTGACGTTTGACTTCAAAGCATATATTTATATCTTCATCAACAGAATGCCAAGCTTACGTTTGATTACCATGTAAGTTTGATATTCTTCTATAAGGTTCTGATTATGACCACGATTAATTTACCTATATTTCCTCATAAATTTAACCTTAATCCTATTCCCTACATTAACGACGTGTGAAGGTGAGAAATGCGCTAGTTCTCGTAAGCCATCATGTTTCGTGTTTTTTTGCAGCGTTTAGTTCGATAATTTCTGCAACTTTCGTTGCATGACAAGAAGAATTTGAACTGGTTGTGTGTCACTCCACGGGACATGCCACAAAGAGGTCAGCTTTAATCTGAATGAAACAGTAAATCTAATGTAAAGAAACCAGCCACGGCTGCGCGTTCAAATACCGTGACGTTTCCTTACGCCGAGTTCTTAAACACACACACACACACACACACACACACACACACACACACACACACACACACACACACACACACACACACACACACACACACACACACACAAGAGAATACAAAAGATCCTCTTTCTTTTCCGCAAAATCTGATTCTTGAATAGTGGGCCATGTTACATAGACTGGGTCTGATCCTCTGCTGCTTTGCTACTTGACACTGCAGTGTCTTTAGCTCGCAGGAACCAGAGGTGCCGAAAACGTGCATATTAAACGTACAAAAAAAGTAAGAAAGCGCGCAAAGGGTTTCTTTCTTGACGATAAAAAAATGCGTGCACACCCATTAAGATTAAATATCCCCTTTTCTCTCCCCCGCTCTGCTTTACATTTGCTATTTCATTGACCTTCACCTGACTAAAAGCATGCCTAAACTAAACATACACTATAGAGACCGATACAATTTCTCAGGTATGCACAGAGAAGCGTTTAGTGCGGTCGTACTACCTGAAAGTAGGTGTGGATATATGACTGTTTACGTGCGCAGGTCGCGCTGATATCAAATGTAATAAACATAACAACTGTGTACATACCTCGCACCGAGTATCCAATGCGTTTGCTTGGTCGCCGGCGTCCAAATATCAATGTCACTTGTTTATACAGTCGATTTATATCGAAAAATCCGAAAGTGCGAGAACAGTCAGTGAAACCATAACAACAACAATGTTCAGCATACGCTCGTGCGTTCGCGCAGGCGTGCGTCGTAATGTTTCACGCAGGCTGTTAGATGCAGCAGTGTCGTTAGCATCAAACATGCGAACCGTTCGTGACCCGGGGTGTGTATAAGTTCGTCGCTGGTGGCAGTGTAGATGAGATAAGAATGAATACAGGAGACCTGCCCTGCCGTCGTTACGAGATAAGAAGAGTTCAGTTAAATAATAATAATAACGCGCCTAGTCTTGCATTAGTACACGGGTGGCGGTCGGCGACCAGTTAGAAATCTTTTAGCAGATCATCGAATCGCAGCGACCGTCGGCGACGGCGTCTGCTGCCCAGCTGACCGGGCATGTCGCCCCTAGCCGCATCGACGGAGTCTATCTGCAGCGACTGGCACTTCGGCCCGACGAAGCCCTCCGAGCAGAGGCACTGGCCGGTGACCGAGTCGCAGAGGGCACCGTTGTAACACTCGCACGTGAACGCGCAGCTGGAGCCGTAGCGGCCGATGCGGCACGGCTCGCCGCAGCGACGGCCGGCGAAACCCGGCGGACATTTGCAAACGCCCGTCTTGGCGCTGCACGGGTACACGCCGCAGTCGCACTTCTGCTGGCAGCTCTCGCCGTGGCGGCCCGCGTCGCACGTGCGCTCGCAGTCGTCGCCGACGCGACCTGGCGGACACAGGCAGCGGCCGGTGTCCGGCTCGCAGATGGCGCCACCGACGCAGTCGCACTGCAGGCTGCAGTACTCGCCGTAGAAACCGGCGGGGCAGGCGAACTCGCAGCGCTTGCCGTAGAAGCCGGCGCGGCAGTGGCAGCAGCCGGACACGCGGTCGCACTCGGCGTCGTTCTGGCACTCGCAGTCGAGCGAGCATCCCGGACCGTACGTGCCGGCAGCGCACGGCTGCTCGCAGCGCTCTCCCATCCAGCCGAGGCCGCACGAGCACGCTCCCGTCAGCTTCGCGCAGCGGCCGCCGTTCTCGCACGCGCACGTGTTGTTGCACTCGATGCCCCAGAAGTCGGCTGCGCACTCCCGCTCGCACTGCTCTCCGGAGAAGCCAGCCGGACAGACGCAGCGTCCCGTGTTCGTGTCGCACTGGCCGCCGTTGCGGCAGTCGCACAGCTGCGTGCAGTTGACGCCGTACCACATGCGCGGGCACGGCTGGTCGCACAGCGTGCCGATCCAGCCCGCCGGACACGAGCAGTCGCCGTTGCTCGGGTCGCAGTGGGCGCCGTTTTCGCACATGCAGTCCTCGTAGCAGTCGGAGCCGAACTGCTCGGGCGGGCAGCTGCGCTTGCACTTCTTACCGCGCAGGCCTGGCTTGCACTTGCACTCGCCCGTCACCGGCTCGCACACCTGGCTAGCCGTGCAGTTGCAGACGCTCGCGCAGCCGGCGCCGTAGTAACCCGGCGCGCACACGTGCTGGCACATGAACCCGGTGAAGCCATCCGGACAGTCGCACGTGCCCGTCACGTGGTCGCAGGGCTCGTCGCCGCACGTGCACTCGCGCGAGCATCCGTATCCGTACTTGCCCTGCTCGCACGTCTCCTCGCACTTCTCTCCCATCCAGCCGGGCATGCACTCGCACGCGCCCGTCGTCGGGTGGCAGTCTCCGTGCGCGCACGTGCACATCTCCTTACAGTCGGCGCCGTAGTGTCCCGGCGGACACCTCCCCTCGCAGTGCTCGCCGCGGTATCCCGCCGCGCAGTGGCAGGCGCCGGTGACGCGGTCGCACGTACCGCCGTTCAGGCAGCGGCAGCGACGCGCGCACTCGGCTCCGAAGTATCCCGTCGGGCATTCCATCTCGCAGGCGTCGCCCCAGTAGCCGGCCGGGCAGCTGCACTCGCCCGTGATGTGGCTGCAGACGCCGTCGTTGGCGCACATGCAGTGACGCACGCAGCTGCTGCCGTAGTAACCCGCCGGACATTCCTGCGTGCAGTACTGGCCCATGAAGCCGGGCCGGCAGATGCAGCCGCCACCGACCGGGTCGCACGTGCCGCCGTTCTTGCAGCTGCACGCCTCCTGGCAGTTGAGTCCAAACATCCCGTCGGGACACTGCTGCTTGCATCCGGACCCGGACCATCCGGGAGCGCAGTGACAGGAGCCGGAGACCGGGTCGCAGCGCGCGCCGTTGCCGCAGTTGCACGCGTGCTGGCAGTCGAGTCCGTAGAAGCCGGACGGGCAGGGCCGTTCGCAGGCGATGCCGCGCCAGCCTGCCGTGCACGTGCACGCGCCGCTGATGTGGTCGCAGAGCGCGCCGTTGTTGCACGCGCACGCACCGCGGCACGCCGCACCGTACGTTCCTTCGGAGCAGGGCAGCTCGCAGGCGTCGCCGCGCCAGCCCGGCGTGCAGACGCAGTCGCCCGTGCGCGGGTCGCACTCGGCGCCGTGGTGACACGAGCAGTCCTGCAGGCAGTTGGGGCCGTGCGTGCCCGCCGTGCACACCTGCTCGCAGCGCTGGCCCTCCCAGCCGGCTGCGCAGTTACACGTACCCGTCACCGGGTCGCACACAGCATCGTTCTGACAGCGGCACTGCTGGAGACAGTCGGCGCCGTAGCGTCCCGGCGGGCACGCATCGTGGCACGCCGCTCCAAACCAACCGGCGCTGCAGTAGCACTGGCCCGTCTTGCCATTGCAGTCCGCCTCGTTGCCGCAGGTGCAATCGTGCACGCAGTTCGGTCCCCACATGTTCTCGTCGCACGGCCGGTCACACGACTCTCCATTGAAGCCCGCGGGACAGATGCACTCTCCCGTCTTCGTGTCGCAGTCGAGAGAGCCGCAGTTACAGTCGAAGAGACAGTCGCGGCCAAAGCGCCCTGGCTGGCATTTGATGTCGCAGTCCTCTCCCGTGAATCCTTCAGCGCAGTCGCCGACGCACCGGCCGTTGATGTGGTGGCACTGCGTCGACGTCAGACACTGACATTGCACCGAGCAATTGAAGCCGTACCAGCCTTCGGCGCACTTGCTCTCGCACGACTTGCCCTCGAAGCCCGGCTTGCAGAGGCACACCCCCGTCTTCGAATCGCATCCGTTCGCCTGCTTCCAGTTGCAGTCGCACTCTCGGTTGCAGTTGGGACCGAAGTTCTTCTCGGGGCACGGCAGCTCGCAGTGCGGCCCGAAATATCCTGGCCGGCAGATGCAGTAGCCGAACTGACGGTCGCACGTCTTGCTCGGGCACGTCACCGGACACTCCTTATCGCAGTCGCGCCCGTAGTAGCCCGGATGGCAGCCGTCCTCGCAGTTCTCTCCCTTGATGCCTGGCAGGCAGTGGCACTTGCCGTCGAGCGGGTTGCACGTTCCGCCGTTAAGGCACGTGCAGACGCCGTTGCAGCCGACGCCGTACGTTCCCTTCGCGCACGTCTCGTTGCAGAGCACGCCCATGCGGCCGGCGGGGCAGAAGCAGCCGTCGCGGTCGGGCTGGCACGTGCCGCCGTTCTGACACTTGTCGCACGTCAGGCTGCAGTCGTGGCCGAAGTACCCGGGCCGACACTTCTCCTTCACCTGCTGCTCCTTCAGTTCCAGCTGATTCTCGTACTCGTCGACGACCGTGTCGGGGCTGTCGCTCGGCAGGGGGTGCTTCGGCGGGCCGAGGTCGCCGCGGCCCGGTTCGCACATGGAGCCGTCGGCGGCGAGGAAGTATCCGTCGTCGCAGTCGCAGTAGAACGATCCGGCGACGTTGACGCACTTCTGCTTGCAGCCGCCCTCGTCGATCTCGCACTCATTGATGTCGACGCACGAGCAGCCGTCGTCGGAGACCGTGTAGCCGATGTGGCAGACGCACTCGTAGCTACCTGGTAGGTTGTTGCACACCTGCTCGCAGCAGTCCGTGTTTAGGAAGCATTCGTTGATGTCCTCGCAGCTCCTGCCGTCGGCGGCGATCGCGTAGCCCTCGAAGCAGCCGCACTCGTAGCGGCCCGGCGACGTGTTGTTGCAGTAGTGCTCGCAGCCCGGGTTGTCGACGAGGCACGAGTCGATGACGACGCACGAGCGGCCGTCCTCGTGCAGCCGGTAGCCGGACACGCAGGCGCACTCGCGCTGCCGCGCCCCGACGAACTGACAGATCTGCTCGCAGTCGCCGTTGTTGTCGTCGCAGGGGTTGAGCAGCGTGCACGTGCGTCCGTCGGCGTCCATGACGTAGTGGTCGGGACAGGAGCAGACGAACGAGCCGTTGTTGTTCGTGCAGCCGTGCGAGCATCCGCTGAAGCCCTGCACGCACTCGTCGATGTCGACGCAGCGTTGCAGGTCAAAGGTCAGCTCGAAGCCCTGCAGACAGTCGCAGATGACGCCGCTCTCCGTGCTGCGGCAGTAGTGCTGACAGTTGCCGTTGTCGATGTCGCACGGGTCGCGGCACGTCTTCCCGTCGGCCGGATCGAGGATGAATCCCGGATAGCAGTCGCACTCGTGCTCTCCCGGCCCGAGGTTGATGCACAGCTGGTTGCAGCCTCCGTCGTCCGTCTTGCAGGGGTCGACAGGCTCGCAGGAGACGCCGTCCGGCAGCAGATCGTAGCCCTTGCGGCACCTACACTTGCGTCGATCTGGGCCGACGTGCTTGCAGACGTGCGTGCAGTCGCCGTTGTGGATGTCGCACGGGTTTTCCTCCTTGCAGGTGATGCCGTCCGGCTCGAGCGTGTATCCGGCGTCGCAGATGCAGATGCGCTGGCCCGGAGCCGTCTTCAGACACGTCTGGCTGCAGTTGCCGCGGTTGTAGTCGCACGGGTTGATCTCGTCGCACGAGGCGCCGTCGCTGGCGAGCGTATACCCCTCAGAGCAGATGCACTCTCGCGCGTCGGGCCCCGTGTGCTTGCACGTGTGCGCGCAGCCGCCGTTGTCGCGCAGGCACGGGTTGATGGGCACGCACGTAACGCCGTCATGACTCAGCTCGTATTCTTCGAAGCATCGGCAGGCCGGCTTGCCGCGCACGTTCTCGCAGAGCTGTTCACAGCCGCCGTTGTTGAAGGCGCAGGGGCGTATGTGCTCGCACATGCGTCCGTCCGCCTGCAGCCGGTAGCCCTGCTTGCAGCGACACTCGTGCCGTCCCGGTGCCAGATGCTCGCAGATCTGCTCGCAGCCTCCGTTGGAGCCGTCATCGCACGGCTTCACCTCCTCGCAGGTGCGCGCATCGTTGCGCAGGTAGTAGCCGTCGTCGCACGAGCAGATGGCGACGCCGGCCATGTTCGTGCACACCTGCTCGCAGCCGCCGTTGCCGACGGCGCACGGGTCGATCGGCGTGCAGCGGCGGCCGTCTTCGGCTAGCTCGAAACCGCGGTGGCACGTGCAGCGGTGGCGCCCCCTGCCGAGGAACTCGCATCCGTGTTCGCATCCGGCGTTGCTTAGCACGCACGGGTTGATCTCCTCGCAGTGCTTCAGGTCGGGCAGCAGCTTGTAGCCGTCGCGGCACAGACACTCGGGTCGGTCGCCGACGCTGCGGCACTCGTGCGCGCAGCCAGCGTTGTCGCACGGGTCGATCTTCTCGCAGCTTCTCGCGTCGGCCATGAGTCGGTAACCGTCTCCGCACGAGCAGACGGCGACGCCGTCGACTGGCGAGCAGGTCTGCTGGCAGCCGCCGTTGTCCGTCTCGCAGGGGTCCGTCGGGTGGCAGCTGCGGCGGTTCTTGGCGAGCGAGAATCCGTCGCGGCAGGCGCAGTGGTAGCGGCCGGCGCCCGTGTTGACGCAGATGTGTTCGCAGCCGCCGTTGTGTCGCTTGCAGTAGTTGATCTCTTCGCACTGTCGCCGGTCGTCGGCGAGCATGTATCCGGTGTTGCACGAGCAGATGACGCGACCGTCGCGCTCGTTGCACACTTGCTGGCAGCCGCCGTTCTCCTCCGAGCACGTCTCCTCCTTCTTGCAGGTGCGTCGGTCCGGCTGCAGGCTCCAGCCGCGGCGGCACATGCAGAACGGCTGGCTCATGCGGTTGACACACACGTGCTCGCAGCCGCCGTTGTCGACCGAGCAGGGATCGCGCACGCAGCTGCGCTCGTCGCTCTGCAGTTCGTAACCCTCGCGACACGAGCAGACGGCGCGCTCGCCCGCCTTCTGGCAGATGTGCTGGCAGTCGCCGTTCATGTGCATGCACGGGTTTGTCTTGCGGCAGCGGCGTCGGTCGGGACCGAGTTCGTAGCCGTCGCGGCATGCGCAGCGCACGCGGCCGCCCTCGATGGCGCATGCGTGCTCGCATCCGCCGTTGTTGTCGTCGCAGAGGCCGACGCAGCGTCGACGGTCGGAGGCGAGGGTAAAGCCGGGGCGGCAGGAGCATCGGACGCGGCCATGCACGTCGGTGCACGTCTGATCGCAGCCGCCGTTGTCGCGCTCGCACGGACTCTCGTCGCGCTCGCAGCTACGGCCGTCCGCCTGAAGCGTGAAGCCCTGCTGGCAGCTGCAGACGGCGCGTCCGTTCTCGTTGTTGCAGTCGTGCTGGCATCCGCCGTTGTTCTCGCGGCACGGGTCCTCCGGCTTGCATGACCTGCGGTCTCGCATCAGACGGAATCCGGGCTGGCAGGAGCAGATGGCGCGGCCGCGGTCGTTGGTGCACGTCTGCTCGCATCTTCCGTTGTCGTCGGCGCACGGGTCCGGTAACTCGCACGTTCTCTGGTCGGCAGCTAGCTGGTAGCCCGGCTGACACGAGCAGGTGGCGCGCCCTCTATCGTTGGTGCAGATGTGGTTGCAGCCGCCATTGGCGTTCGTACACGGATCCGGCGTCGCGCACGTGCGTCGGTCCGGGTTCAGCTGGTAGCCGGGGAAGCAGGAGCACGTCGCGCGTCCTCTATCGTTGGTGCACACCTGTTCGCAGCCGCCGTTGCGCTGGCGGCAGGGGTCAGAGATCTCACACGAGCGCCTGTCGGGCTGCAGCTGGTATCCCGGTTGGCAGGAGCATACGGCGCGCCCCCTGTCGTTGGTGCACACTTGCACGCAGCCTCCGTTGTCCTGCCTGCAGGCGTCCACCTCCTCGCACGTCATGCGGTCGGCGCGCAGCTGGTAGCCCTGTCGGCACGTGCACACTGCGCGCCCCCTGTCGTTGGCGCAGTCGTGCTCGCATCCGCCGTTGGCGCTCGTGCACGGATCCTCCGGGTCGCAGTGGCGGCCGTCGGCGTTCAAGACGAAGCCGTCGCGGCATGAGCACGTGACGACGCCGCTGTCGTCATCCATGTCGCACACGTGCTCGCATCCGCCGTTGTCGTCGCCGCAGGCGTCGGCCGTCACGCACGTGCGTCCGTCAACGTGCATCGTCATGTCGTCGGGGCAGTCGCAGCGGTAGCCGCCCTCGAGGTTGACGCAGCGGTGGCTGCAGCCGCCGTTGTGCATCTCGCACTCGTCGACGTCGACGCACGTGCGATCGTCGGCCTCGAGCGTGTAGCCGAGGAAGCACTTGCAGTAGTAGGTGCCGATCGCGTTGCAGCATCCCTGCGAGCATCCTCCGTTGCTCATCGCGCACTCGTTGATGTCGTACTGGCAGCGCGGACCCTGGAATCCAGTCGCGCAGTCGCAAAGCTTGTGGTCCGGATCGGCGCTGCACACTCCGCCGTTGAAGCAGATCCCGGGACCGCACTCCGGGTAGAGGCAGCCAGGCTCGCCAGGCATCTGCGCCCAACCGTCGCAGCAGCGGTACATGGTGCGGTAGTGCGGTTGCATCTTCGTCTGCACGGCCGTGTAGTAGTGCGTGCGCTTCTCGTAGCCGACGCACCAGTTGTCGTACGTGTCGCCGCAGTTGGGCTTCCACACCTTGACGAGCTTCGTGTACGGTCGCTGCTCGGTGCCGCGCACCGCCACCATCTCCACCTGCTGATACGGACAGATGTTCACCCGCTGCACCTCGTTGCCGTCGGCAGTGACGTTGTTGCTGGCGGCGTCGTCCGCGCGCGCATGCGTGGCGAGTAGGCACAGCATGGTGGCGAGTACGCATGCGCAGACGGGGAGCGATCGTCGGCGGACCTCCATCGCGGCGTCTGCAAAGCGACAGAGGGTTTGAGAACCGCGTGTAGGTTTCACCCACCCGAACCTATAGACTATTACATATTTATAATCTTAATTAATACTTATATACTATAGTACTTGTAATAATACTATACTAATACTTATAATACATGTATATATGTATATATATGTTACATGTGGATTTTAGACGCACACAACACGTGCGCGCAGGCACGCAGATATACGAACAAATAAATCCCGTTTTCACGCAGGTACGCAAGCACGAACACACGCACATACACCCCCAAAGTCTAATAACATGTCGAAGCGCGATCGCATGAAAGACCAGAGAGAAGGAGAGAGCTGAGAGAGGGGAGAGAGAGAGAGAAAAGAGAGAGAGAGAGAGCGAAGAGAGCGATGAGAGAAGAGAGAGAGAGAAAGCGGAAAAAAAAGAGAGAGAAGAGGAGCAAGAGCGAGATGAGAGT